GGACTTTCAGTTCCGATATATTGACTCTCGTAGATGCGGTGCAAAGTTGCACACAAATCTTTGCATATGATACCTATCCCATAAGTTTATATAGGCTTTCCGATGTGAATGTTCTAATGTTAACAGACATTGCTACAAGTCAGTTGGCACTATTCCTCCCTTATTTCGAAAGTTATTTTTGTGAATGAAAATATGTCTTAAACTTCGTTGAGTTTAGAATAACATTATATTCATATAGAAACTATTACCCTCCTTGCCGTATGGTAAATATAATATTAGGAATAAATAGTTTGATTTATGCTTCACATAAATACACATCCTCCATTATCAAACTATTCTACATATCATGCATATCTAAATGCTGGCTATATACTATACAGTAAACTACGGTTATAACGAACTCGAGGGACCACTAATTTGAGTACGTAATAACCGTAGTTCGTTTTAAGGATACATACAGCATATATACAACAAATGGTCAGGACTAAAATATAAGTTTGTTATATCGGTCAGTTCGTTATAAGCGTGTTCGTTATAAACGTAGTTTACTGTAGTGGATATCTGGGATGACAAGAACAGACCGAACACACAGGAACTCGTTATTGGTCAGAAAATACAAATACACGCCCGTTATATTTAATAAGGGGTGAGGTGAGGTGAAATGGGTTTAACGTCGCGTCTAAGATCATTGCACTTGTATGGCGACGTGCATGTACGTGTGAGTGTGTGTGTCCGCTTGTACTAGTTCGGACTAATGCCAATTTTATAGTGCTAGCCCACTGAGATACCATGCCAGAGGTTAATATGAATACCCTGCTCAGACACCGTATACTGACTCCGAGCCGACCAGTCCTTGTTTTAATCCCTTAATGCCGAGCGCCAGACAGGGTAACAACAAGTACCATCTTTTAACGTCTTTTGGTATGACGAAGCCGGGGATCGAACCCCGGACCTCCCGGACGCTCTACAACTAGACCAGGGAGGCGGTCCCCTATACATATAAGTAGAGTATAGGTGGTATTATGGTTTTATGTCATTTTCCATTACATTGTGACCGTCACATTATAGTAGTAGTACAAGTACTCCACACAATGACAGAAGGTCACGTTACATTTTGAAATGGTTTTAACACACTTTGTATTCGGAGACTGCGGTTCCTGCAGCAATGGTGGTTTGCAGCTTGTCGTAAGAGGCGACTAACGGGATCGGGTGGTCAGGTTCGCTGACTTGGTTGATGCATGTCATCGATCCCATTTGCGTGGATCGATGCTCATGTCAATCACTGGATTGTCTGGTCCAAACTCGATTATTTACAGACCGCCGTCATATAGCTGGAATATTTCTGAGTGCGGCGTTAAACAACAAACAGATGGTTTGGAAGCGTTTATATAATGAACGCTGTGTGTTAGAGGATGAAGCATATGTTTAAATTCAACTTTAATGTCTATTTTACGTAAGTTTTATATGTCCTATTATACAAATACTATACTAATGATGCAATAAATATATGATCCTCTGTAAAGAAAGACTTTATGGTTCTCTGGTTACCTGCACTTTGTACTCCGTCACATGGTGAGGTGAGGTGAAATGGGGTTTAACGTCGCGTCCAAGATTATTGCACTTATATAGCGACGTGCATGTACGTGTGTGTTTGTTTGTGTGGCTGCTTGTACTAGTCAGGACTGATGCCGATTTATAGTGCTAGCTCACTGAGATACCATGCCGCAGTTTAACATGAATACCCCACTCAGACACAGTATACTGACCCCGATCCGACCAGTCCTTGTTTTAGCCCCTTAATGCCGAGCGCCAGACAGGGAAACAACAAGTACCATCTTTTAACGTCTTTTGGTATGACGCGGCCTGGGATCTAACCCCGGACCTTCCGCTCTCCGGGCAGACGCTCTACCACTAGACCACGGAGGCGGTCTTCCGTTACATGGTGACATACTTAGCCTCGTCTTCACGCATTATGCTACATTTATATAGCCACACACTCTGGGTGTATTGGCCTCGTAAACAATAAATACTCCATTCGTACAACCCAAACGCATTTAAAAGGTTTCCACATAACGTATATTGTACCTTTGCCTCGTGTGCCATAACAATAAACCGTTGAATATAAAAAGTACCAAACGTATGTTAAATACTTTCATATAACGTATGCCTAAATTTACATGGGTTTAACACGTACACTAAAACAGAGAAACTAAACAAATCCCAAACGCACCCGTGAAGATTCCGGGGTAGAATAGGTCTTCAGCAACCCATACTTGCCGTAAAAGGCGGCTATGCTTGTCGTAAAAGGCGACTAAAGGGATCGGGTGGTCAGGCTCGCTGACTTGGTTGATACATATCATCGATCCCTATTGCGTGGACCGATGCTCATGATGTCAATCACTGGATTGTCTGGTCAAGGCTCGATTATTTTACAGACCGCCGTCATATAGCTGGAATATTGCTGAGTGCGGCGTTAAACAACAAACAAACAAACCACATAACGTAAACCTAATTCTACCTGGAACTAGTATATATAAATCCTTGAATTTTTTTATACCAAAAACCTACAATCGCATTTAAAAAACGTCCGCGGGTAGCTCATTTGACCCGGTCGTATACAATCAGCCTTCATTTCTAATATATAGGACCAGAGGAACGGAAAATAAATATTAAACCTCCCAAACACATTTAAAGCACTTCCTCATAGCGAATATGAATTTTCCAATTTCTAGAAGACCATTGTCCACAACCAGCCACACTTCAACAATACAAGACAACCAGGAACCTGACATCTTTTGTATCCATCTGTGACGACCAATGTCCCCTTTCTCGCTCTCCATATTGCGAATCCCACGTGACAAAGACCTGATTAGGGAAGCTATAATCAAAGTCAGGACATCGATGTCCTACACCTGTCGCGTGCTGGACCATCAATAACACTCTATTCCCAGGGGTCGGCTACGCATGGATGTACCAAAGGTACATTAAATATTTCAGACGACGCTAACAGCTCCTACAATTTGCTGGACGACTCAACTATTTGACCAAAACAATTGGTTGACCAGAGGAACGGATTGCCCCCCGCCCCCAGTTGTAGCGTGTCCGCCCCCCGTTGTCCGGCGTTGTCCGGTAACATCTCTCACACTCAGAGCATCCCTTGATGGAAGGTCGGAATGGTGTGCTCTGATGACACCGCGGTCGTACCGAGTGACCCTTGGGGCTATATCGTCTTGCCGGACACCTGTTAACCTGACCCTTCACTGTCACCGGACATGGGTGGACAATGTACCCGGGGTCATTAGGGTCCGCGAACAGCATGTTCTAAAACACGTGGGTTTCGCTCACTTAATCCAATGGTAAAGGACCTGTTCACACTATTATAGTATTTCCTTGTACTTGCTGGGAGCTACACTTGTATTACACGTGTATTTGATATTGTATTATAATCTTCCATAAGAAAAGCTTGTGATCACTATTATGAAAAGTCTTAAAACAATTCACATAAATTCAATAATGCGATACTTTCTTAAAAAAATTGCAGGGCAAAAGAATGTTTGATGGTTGATAAAAATGAAACGAACAAGAAATGGTTATTCGATACGGGTATCATTGTTGTCCCTTGGACAAGTTTGCAGTGTTACGGTTAGTGCTTTCAGCCTATAGTATCGTTTTGATGACGTTTGTAACTTTGAGGTCAAATCCAATGTTCAATTGTATCCTATTTTTGCCTGGCGGGTTATGACATAACAGTTTTACATCTTACGGTCTTACCCAAATATACAAAATGTGGTGATTTTTAAAAATATTAATTCAAGTCTCACATTAGAATCATGATTGAGTCAGTCAATAACACATATAAAAATATGCGTTAACATTTAGAATAAATTAGGATTCAAGATACATATCTGGGGTACGTGTCATCTAACTTATGACGTCATAATCCAAATCTTTTAAAAAAACGAAGGGAAAGTAACATCCTCGACGTATGCGCCGTTCATCCTGACCTTAACACGTTTTACATCAAACATATTTTTTTTATTTATAAGTCAGCCAAACCTCGGATCCCGGGCATACCTGCAGTGTGACTTGTGACTTAATCGCCTGTGTACGTGACGACAACACGGAATAGCTAACTAAAAGTTGACAACGAAAAACAAGCAAAGGTCACAAATACTACATAGTGCATCTCCACTGCGAACATCGAACATGCAGGCATAAAGGCTTTCCTCTACGAAAGAATCAAATAAACTATCGGTTTTTTTCTGTAATTGACAAGTCCATTACGTAGAGGCAAGAGCCCATATATCCGCCTACTGTCCATTCCCATTGAAGCTCGGGGGATGGAATAAAAGAGACCCAAGACATCAAACAAACGCGAGTACTTCGCCATCAAAGTCGGTAATACGGGGTATTTAGCGACCGCCGACTACCCGACCTTGTGAATAGCCAGCGTTATTTGTGTGAAATATTAAGCATGGCGGTGTTGAATGGGGTATAGCTTCAGCGTCTACCCGAAATCACGAACGCGGTGCCTTTCACATAATGTATGCATGATAAGGGAGATTTCGTCTACCCGGTACCCGTGTTGGTGGGTATTATGAAAGTTAAGACTTGAATATTAAAGAAGAAAGCGGGTGTTCTGTCAAATAGCCTTTAAGACCCAGGTCAGTGAAAGAGCTAGGGTGGATTTAGCCAGGTATTGGCGACGTAATTGTACGGATTAACAAATCGATCTAAAAACCAACAGGGCGAATGCAAAGCGACACTTATCTTGAGCAGGTAAACGTTGTGGGCGCTTAATCAAGTCCCGCGAGTGTTAAGGGGTTGACAAGCTCGCGGTCACGCTGAGATATATCGAGTGTATTATACTCTCGGCATGGCCATGTAAACTGCAGCTCAGCTGGTGAAATAGACACACGTCGCGCATCGGCGATATGCGTTTGTTATGAAATCGACATGATGTTGTGATCGGGCGTCACGAAGAAATGTCACATACACGCCCCACGTGTCATAACATCGCGTGAACTTGTCAAAGTCGGTTAAAGTTTGTGATCGCTATCTGCACTTTGCGTCGATCAAGTGAAATCAGCAGTTAGTTGATGATATAGATATGCCCTGCGCCCCACGGGGTAGTTTGGGAGCTATCGCTTTCAGAGTGACAGCGAAACTGATCCTGGGCTTCTCTGATCGTCACTGCTGGGCGAGGATTGTGTGTCAGTGTACGGGCCAGCAGCGTGTTACCGGGAGAAGCGAGAGAGCTTTCTCTACAATCGGAGCCAATGAACTGAACGTAAGGCTCTTTACAACGGAGGCCGATTTTACCTGGAGTATTTATGTGTTGGTCGGAGATCGCGCTTGGCGCATGCTGTCCTTGTTCTGTGGATTACGTTGGTCATACTTGGATATTGTGTATTCTGTGCTGAGAGGTTTGTAATATTATTTTATTCAATTATGCAATAAATGTCATGTTTAAAAATATTTCTTTACAGCTATGTGTCCAGTAATGCATGCAGCAAAATTTCGAATCGCTGAAAAGTAATTCTTAAAATGAGTATTATTATTGATCAGCATGTCTGTAATGATATATTTAATGATGTCATTATTATTATATATATTTGTGGAAATTGGATTGAATGTAAACGCTGTTATTATCAATGACATGAAAACAAATAAACTTAAAACTGCAATCTGTTTGTTTCATATGCATAACATTTGTACAAACTATCCGTATCTTAGTTTTTTCGAAATTCATGATTATTTTTGTGTACTATTTCAAAATTCTTATATCTATAGTGTTTTCCGAAATAGATGATATTTAAGCATACAATGTTTCTGTTATTGTTAAATATTGTATTGTTACCCGTGAAGCCGAAACGTCGTTACCATGTGCCATTATTGCTATGAAAACCTACAATTTGGAGAACGGACGGCAATCAAAACATTTCGTAAGTGTTAAGTACATCTGCCAAGCAGTCACAAGTACTTGACAAGCGAACAGAAGCAAGTTGTTGACCCAATGTTTTGACAGCTTATCAAAACAATAGCAGTTAAGTACACCTGCAGTGCCGGAGTTAATTAGCAATTGTAATACCAAGCTGTCTATTTCAAAACGCGCCTAGTGTCATTCACTGCCTGTATATTTCATTATCTACAAAACGTGACCTATCTTGCATGTACCTCTATGGGACTTGACGGTGTGGAACTCTCTGCTATTTACAGTGATAAGAATCGCCGGACCCCTACAGATGTGAAACCCAGGAACTAAATGTACGAGAAAGCAAGGGACGCTCGCGTGAAAAAGAACAGAATTTCACAATTTATTGAAGCAATTTGCTTGAGGTTCTGCCAGTATGTTTGGCCTGAACACGCCCTTGAGCAAATCCATCTCCGGTGGCGACTTTGACTCTGTCAACGTCATTCTGGGAAACAGGTGAGAGTACACCACGTGCGGCACGTTTTTCACTCATTTTGCCTTTTTTATCAAGCAGGTGTCACCATTTGTTTAATGCTAGAGTTGAAATCCCGTTTTTATGTATACAGACAACGCTCGCATATATCCGCGATGGATCTGATATTTAGGCTTTAACCTTCATTGGCATTAAAGAGTTTGAAGAGCTGAATGGCTGATCATCAAATACATAAAAGATGATTTAATCAGTGGATGAACAGAGGCCCGATACACTGGAATAAATACCGCGGACAGTCTAACATTTGATAGACGCGTGCGGAACTTTGTGGATGGCTGTGTTAAAAGTCACGAGTAATACCAAGTAAATATCATATACTGTTGATGAGACGTTTATTTCCAAATTGACATTGTTATTGAAATGAACCAAACTGTTTTTACAATTACAATTAATGAACATGTTGTTTTTGTTGTGACACTGATATGATTGTTATACTGTGACTATTCGAATGTTAATATGATTTTTAAGCAATTATTCTACATGTTAATCATTTATTTGAAGTAAGTACCACCGTTCCTATTGAATCACTAGGTTTGTTGCTTTTAGTTTTACGTCAAATGTCAGACAGACTTCTTTTAGTTTTACGTCAAATGTGCACATAACGAAAGTGTCATTTATGTTTCAATGATAACTTATCAATAATTTGTCAAGAAAGGTACATCTACTGTGTCATTTTAACTCAAATTAGCTCATCTCAAATTCAATGTTCGCTTATTGCGCTTATCCACATATATATTACTCAAGTTTTGATAAGAACATATATGTATATCAACAAATAACAGAAATCTCCGTATCATAAGTTGAGTAGTATCTTTTTAAATAACTCATTTTTATGATGTTGTTTCGATCAATGTGCAGTACACACGAGATACACTTATTGTGAATATTTACAAACGCTAAATTTAATTTTATTGTTAAATATAAACAAAAACACTTATCATAACCTGTTGGTAGATAGTAACAAGCGAAAAGGGATGTGACGACAAATAGACATAATTGGTGTTGATTGGCCAAGCATGGAGGTCAACACAAACAAAGTGGAGAATGTCCCAACATCCAATATGACTCGGGGTGTTTGTATATTCATCGGTCACCTTTACCGCATCTCGCTCTGGGGCATGTGATTGACAACTGTTTAAAGTGAGGCCCGTGGCTACTTTATACTGACCCAAGGATGACCCACCGTTGTTAAATAGACTCACCTCGACCATTCTTCAAAGTTGTTTTGTGGGAAAACAGAAGTTGATGTGTCATGTTTGTGTTTGAAGTCGCCAAGCATATGATATATGCAAACCGACCCGCCATCAAAAGCCTCTCATGTCGTTACACTTTTATCCCAACTCAAATGGGGGTTCTTTTAATGCTGAGAAAGTCTACTTACAGTCATATGCCGCTTCCGGGGTCTAGTGGATAAAGCGTCTGCCCTGTGAGCGAAGGTCGGTTCGATTCCGTCCGCTCCATACCAAGAGACGTTAAAAGATGGTACTTGTTGTTACCCTTCCTGGTGAAGGACATTAAGGGGGTAAAGCAAGGACTGATCGGCTCGGAGTCAGTATACTGTGTCTGAGATTATAAAACTTACAACCTTCAATCACTGGGAGACTTACCTGGGGTAGATATCTCCAAGATCAAGGGTGTCGTAGTTTTTCATTTTCTTGTTTGAGGTTTCAAGTATTTACTACACAATTTTAACAAAAAAGCTATTTTGCTTATCTTAAGACAATCGCAACTAACATTGATGTTCAATGAAAAAAAATGGAAATACCATCAACCATCAACATAACAGACATTTACACAAAAGTTGCACAAACAAACAAAAAGCAATCATCTTTATTCAGGTCGTAAAAGTACAAAACATCATTTGATACATCCATTCACATTGATACACATCCATTACCGTGATTATTCTTCACAAATATACATACACATACATCAACGCGATCGTACATCACAGACATACATACACACACATCCACGCGATCGTACATCACAAACATACATACACATACATCAACGCGATCGTACATCACAAACATACATACACATCCTTTAACGCGATCGTACATCACAAACATACATACACATCCTTTAACGCGATCGTACATCACAAACATTCATACACGTACATCAACGCGATCGTACATCACAAACATGCACATCCATCAACGCGATCGTACATCACAAACATACATACACACACATCAACGCGATCGTACATCACAACCATGCACATCCATCAACGCGATCGTACATCACAAACATACATACTCGTACATCACAAACATACATACACACGCATCCACGCGATCGTACATCACAAACATGCACATCCATCGACGTGATCGTACATCACAAACATATATACACGTACATCAACGCGATCGTACATCACAAACATAAATACACGTACATCAACGCGATCGTACATCACAAACATTCATACACGTACATCAACGCGATCGTACATCACAAAATTATATACACATCCATTAACGCGATCGTACATCACAAACATACATACACGTACATCAACGGGATCGTACATCACAAACATACATACACATACATCAACGCGATCGTGCATCACAAACATACATACACATACATCAACGCGATCGTACATCACAAACATACATACATCAACGCGATCGTACATCACAAACATACATACACATACATCAACGAGATCGTACATCACAAACATACATATATATCAACGCGATCATACATCACAAACATACATACACATACATCAACGCGATCGTACATCACAAACATACATACACATATATCCACGTGATCGTACATCACAAACATACATACACATACATCAACGTGATCGTACATCACAAACATACATACACATACATCCACGTGATCGTACATCACAAACATACATACATCAACGCGATCGTACATCACAAACATACATACACATACATCCACGTGATCGTACATCACAAACATACATACATATACATCCACGTGATCGTACATCACAAACATACATCCACGTGATCGTACATCACAAACATACATACACATACATCCACGTGATCGTACATCACAAACATACATACACATACATCCACGTGATCGTACATCACAAACATACATACATATACATCAACGCGATCGTACATCACAAACATACACATACATCCACGTGATCGTACATCACAAACATGCACATACATCCACGTGATCGTACATCACAAACATGCACATCCAATAACATGATCGTACATCACAAACATACATACATATACATCCACGTGATCGTACATCACAAACATACATACACATACATCCACGTGATCGTACATCACAAACATACATACATATACATCAACGCGATCGTACATCACAAACATACATACACATACATCAACGTGATCGTACATTACAAACATACATACACACACATCCACGCGATCGTACATCACAGACATGCACATCCAAAAACATGATCGTACATCACAAACATACATACACATCCATTAACGCGATCGTACATCACAAACATACATACACATACATCAACGCGATCGTACATCACAAACATACATACACATACATCAACGCGATCGTACATCACAAACATACATACACATACATCAACGCGATCGTACATCACAAACATACATACACATACATCCACGCGATCGTACATCACAAACATTCATATTCATTATCGCAATCTTACATCACATCACAAACATACATAGACATCCGTTAACGCGATCGTACATCACAATCATACATGCGGCCTATGGGGTCCAGTTCTGGAACTGATAATATATGGTAAATTTGTAAATTAAACCCAATAACTTACAGATAAGTACATCACTAAAGAGCCGTCGGGTAGCCTAGTGGTTAAAGCGTTCGCTCGTCATGCCAAAGACCCGGGTTCGATTCCCGACATGGGTACAATGTGTGAAGCCCATTTCTGGCGTGCCCCGCCGTGATAATGCTGGAATATTGCTAAAAGCGGCGTAAAAACATACTCACTCACATCACTAAAATACACTACACACGTGCACTGGTATGGTCTTTATAGTGTGCACGTGAAATCATGCACTCTGTATAGCCCTCCCCACGTGAAAATAATAGACTGTTCCAAGCACGGATTTACGTCCGTGCTCGACATGGAATTCGAGCCCAACGAAGGCTCTCATGAAGTGGGTATGCTAGGTGAAAGACATATTCGTACACACCGTATCCAAAGCTCCACTTATCACCTATACATCAAATATAAACATCTCGCCTTTCAGTTTACGATCGGCCCCATGTGCCCACTTGACCTCGCTTGCAATTAAGACACCAAAACACCATACCAACGCCAATTGTCAGTTTTGTGTAATGTTTGTCCATTTCATCAACCGTAATGGATATTAAACTAGTCTTTAGTACATAAATCATTCGTGGAGCCGAGTGATATTGACTTATGAGTCTTGTTGTGACTGTCCCAAAAGGTGTGCCTTACTCCCAAGTTTAAAATGACACCACGACTAGCCAAGGCATGTTTGTACAAAACCGCACGCGTGTCTTATCCAAACGCGATGTTTACACGTTCTGAAAAATTTCGGAAACAAAATACAAGAAGTTGTCTCCCTCGTAGATTTATAATGCAGGGCAGTTACGCCATGTGTAATAGGTTTGAAATGGAACACTTGCAGATGGGATATATTTCACTCCGGGCTCTCACATCAACCCGTGGCCAGCCAGGAGGGAGTGGGTATATTTCACTCTTGAACACCTGATGGCATGGTAATAACATGCTCACGTACACCCCGTGATCTAATTACTGGCGATAACAATGGTCGTCTTCCCCCAACTGGTTGTAATTGCTGCCTTGAGATGATGTATGTGGTCTACCCTTCTAGTACTTACATGTGAGATGTAAGATACTCTTACAGGAAAATTAGAAACTATTTGTATGACATTCATCGATAAAAAATAG